TTCGGAATGGGTAAGTCCCCTTTATATCCTACTAACATTCTCTAACTTCACTTAGAACGTCCATATGCATCAACACCTAGCCCACCCCCCAGGTCCGGAGCCTTCACCTGGTCTCGTCGACAACATCACCGACACACTTCTCAATGCGTTTTCCCGCGTCCGCAAACCCGATGAACGCTTTCTAGACATGCGCGAAGGCGTCGACAAATTTGAAGATGGACTCGTACTTTCAGAGCGTCTCTGGACTCGCGTACGCAATAGAACAACAGGTGAGCATTGCCCCGTCCCCTTCTTTCGTCCCTATTAGTGCTCTCGGCCGTCTGAACGCTAAACAAAGACGGTAATCCGGAATCCGGTGAAGACCTGACTGCAGATTACCACGATATGGCTGTTGCGGTCCAAGGTCTAGGATTCCTGGAATCAGGTATTACGGATCCTTTGAACCATTTCTCAAATACCCTCTTGGAGTTTTCCGCGCTGTTGAGGCATACCACGCAAACAACTACAGATCCCTTTCTTCTTCAACTTCATTCCCTACTTACCTACTCCCATGCCAATCGTGCTGTTCTCAAACTTCGGGATCAGAAACAGCTTGATTTCGAAGAACTTTCAGACTACCTTTCTGGAGTCAGTGCTGAACGTGATAGACTTGCAGCTATCATCAATGGGCATGCAGGAAGCTCAGGGCTTGGGCTAGGGTCGTATCTGAAAGACCGAGTAGATGCTATTCGCGGTGCGGACGATGATAGGTCAAGAGTTGAGAAAATGAAGAAGCTGGACGTGAAGATCAAGGAGGTACGTTGTTTTCTTTATACCGTCGCCTGTCTCGTCGCTGATTTATTATTCAGCTCCAAGATGCTGTGACTACAGCCCACGAAACATCCGACGCATTCAGCGACGAGACTCTCCGTGAACAGCATGTGTTCCAGCGTGCCAAAGAGGCAGAGATGAAGGAGATGCTCGGGAATCTCGCTGAAGGCCAGATCGAGTTTTACAGAGCGGTATGCTTTCTCATGAAAAATCACTTTCTCTCCTTGAATGACCCGTTCTCTGCAGGCAATGGAAGAATGGGATAGGATAATACCAGTCATCCAACGGATCCACGTCGACGTATAATAGTTCATGAGGCATGGGACGTTCTATAATTCATACACACCACACATTGTAATATTGCACATAGGCTACTTATACTTGGCGGATTATTCGATCTCCAAGTGAAAGACTTGTGAAAGACTTTCAAGCAACTCTAGCTTTTCCCTTGTCCAACCCCTCGCTCAATCCTCCCATTCTTGACGTCTCGACGTCTGACTGTAAACCCAATTTCACGTCAGATTCTTGAACGACGAGTGACAACTGACGAAAATGCGTGAGTGAAGCGAAAAACGGTAGGTGGAGCCCCCTGACATTGATGATTCCAGTACTGACAGCCCTCACTACATGAAGCTCTGCGTCTTCGCTCGCTCCCGAGGTGGTGTGTTGTTGGTTAGCGGGAATCCATGGCGGGGGCTCCTTGGATCCCGTTGCCGTCGAAGGCCTCAAGTCATCCTTGAGCTCCATGAGGATTGCAAATGAGACGTCGTCTAAGGGGGAGTTCAGTCTACAAACTATCTTCTCTTTGCATATGCAATACCTCCAAGATGCATCTGACCCAATTGAGCTTCAATCATATTCAATTTGACAAGGAAAGAGCGGAAATATTGCCCGAGGGAAAGCGACGACATGGCTCCTTCGACACTAACCCCCATCATGAGTATGAGTGGATGTCCAGAACGAGCTATGTATACTTACCTGGTATCCTTATCAAATTTTTCTACCTGAATCATGTTCTCAACTGAAAACACGAATCTTTCTAATGCCTTCTCCTCTTTGTTCTTTATCACGACAACCACTTTATCAAGATTCCCGTTCACCAGTTCCTCTCCAAATGCCTTGACTGCCCCACCAATATACGCGTTCAATGCAGGGTGTCGTGATTGAAATACAGGCGTGTCGTATTTCTTTCGACGTATAAAGAGCTCGGCAGGATAGACTTGACGGACATAGAGGATAGTATGGATGGCGACTTCAACTTCAGATAGACGAATGAAGGGAAAGCAAGAAAGAGAAAAACTTGGACGAACTGAACTCGGTTATTCCACGGACAGTTTCTACTGAATCTCAGTTAAGAATTGAGCAGGTTGTTCGCCTGTTACTGACGATTAAAGGTGAGAGATGGTGCTGGCGATGCTGATAATGCCGATGGGATGGTAGCCATGGTTTGAAAATTACTTGGCGGAGACGACGATGAAATTCGAATACGAAAAGCAGAAATGATTAGCTTTAGCGCCGGTGATCACAAGGTGTTACTCATGTAACATAGTTCCCCCTACTCCTGGCTCCTAAATGGTGGCCTGCGGCGGTTGAATCAAATCTCTCTCTCTCTCTCTCAATCCTTAATTTATGAGCTGTTGTAGTCAACATATCGATCGCGAGATTCTGATTTTGAAAGGTTCGTTTGAGCTCGACCCACGACACCAACAAAGCTGACTTTATACCGCTGTCCATATGTTTCACGAGTGGTTTCACAGAAAGAAAGAACAGAAGGCGAGTCGAATCCCGTTCAAGGTGGAGATTAGGTTGGGGTTGGAATTGTCTCTTAAAGTGGAGTAGTGGACAACTTGAATAAGTGAAACAAGACCACAACCAGATGTGAAGCAATACCATCTGATGCAAACGTAGCTGAAGGTCAGGGTAGGAAGAGAGTTGACAGTCTAGTGAGAGACAGCTTTGATATCATCGCTTCCTAGTGGTACAGCACAGTCGAAGATCTCAATCAGGATTTCGCTAGGAAGTTTACGGATAGACAAAGATATGATAGAGCAGATTCTAGCTCTGTGAGCTGACAATAGACGTCCCTGTACTTTGATATCCGCTGCCACTACCTTCTTGATACGGCAAATGTTGAATATCAGTTTTGTTGTTGAGGCGCTGCGGAGCAAGCGTGGGTTGTCCCAGACTGCTGTGTTCCGAACACTAGACGAGCGAGGTCTGGAATATCAGCCCAGGTTAAATGTGTGCGAACTCGATGCTTTGATATCAGTGCTCCTAGTGGGGTGCACATAAACAAATTTGGAAAGAGGTCTCTTCGTTTCGAGGTAGTAGATAGCTGTGGATGAGGATGAGAGATCAATGCTCACCAAACATAGGTTTCCCGTCTTCTATGTGTATTGTGAGTTATGAATTTCAGTCGGAAGATGAAAGTTGACAACAGAGATGGTAGTCTAGAAGTTCATATCGATTAAATTCCGTCCCTTTCTTGGACCCATTCAGTCTTGATATACTGTGACGCCCAGGATATAATCTAACGCGAAAGATTTCCGCTCACTCCCTGACTTTTTCGAACTTACATTTATTTCCACGTATTTCCAATAGGTAGATTCATCAAGAAAAGTACTTAGGTAGTATGTCATGTACAGACGCCAGCGCAGACCTTGTTCCAGGTATGGAATACTTCTCAATGAGGGTATCAAAAGGAAAATATTCGGTACCCATCGAATTGTGTGCGGGAGAAGGGTTAACGACATTATCGCTTTTGAGTTGTTCAACCTGTGAAGAGCATTTTCGTGAACGATGCCCTCGAGATGCTTAGTGCACTACACATACCTGCGCTCGCGTAACCGTAAACAAATTTACCGGAAGTTGCTCCATTACCGCACCCTGCATCTTACCGATCCAGAAAGGCAACGAAATGATTGGGCGCCTACGATGGTTGTGTTTGAGTACCAGTTGCATGATCTCCTTGTACGTCAAGATATTTGGGCCACCGCATTCGATGGTCTTCCCTCCAACCAGAACGTTAATCGCCGGGTCATTCCTCGCGATGATTTCGACGGCGCGAGCGATATCTCCCACGTGTACAGGCTGGAAACGAGACCTGCCGCCTCCGAATACAGGTAAGAACGGGAGGAATTTAGACAGTTTAGAGAATCTCTGTGAGATATCTATTGATTGGAGCGGATACAGAAGAAAGTTAAGGCGTACGTTGAAGAAATCATCCTCGGGTCCAAACACAATACTCGGCCTCAGAACAACGCAGGCTTTCTCCGTTCTGCCTTTGAACACCTTGCGCACCGCCTCTTCGCCCAAAGCCTTGGTCCTATAATACTGGATCTCACTCTCCCTATCGGCTCCAATGGCACTAACATGGATAAGTTTTGCACCAGCTTCTTTTGCAGCTTGTGCGACATTCTCCGCGCCTTTCCACTGGATACGTTCAAAATCCGCAGAAGATCCGTGCATGATTCCAACGAGAGATACAACGAGAGAGGCCCCGGAGAAAACTTGAGTGAGAGTCGATGGGTCAGTGATGTCTATCAAGGCAGGTGGGAGGATTCGAGGATTTCTGTTCAAAGCGGAATATGACTTGTTCGGACGTCGAGAGGCGAGTTGTACTTGGTGCGTTATGGATCCGGCTGAAGCAGGACGGGTTAAGGTAAGAGCGATGTGTTTTCCTGCTTAGACTAAGTACCCCTGTCCGGCAAAGATAGAGGAAACGCACCGAGAAAACCAGCACCGCAGATGACTACCTTGGAAGTTATCATAGTTTAATTGAGAGAAGATGCAATAGCGTCAATCGCATTCGCGTGGTTTCGATCGAACATCTACATGGCGTATACTGTATCGCGAAGAGGAACCAGAGCGGACCGGCGTCGGCCGTCAAGGTGATGTAAGCAGTACGTTCCGCGGATCAATCTCAGATTCTGATCTGATAAGAACAGCTTTGACCTTCGAATTAATAAGGCAGGTCAAAGCATGCAGAGATTGGGCTAGTTTAGAAGCTATACAGCTTTAAGCTATCTATACAAACTCTTCATCTTCTATTCTCAAAAGATCATATTTCCTTGAACGCCTCACCCGTCCCCTGAAATCAGAGCCCCGACCTCCCGGACGGTGAATTGAGACCATTCTCAGGCTGATGCATGTCATCGACTATTCATGGACACAACTGTCATTTCATTGTATCCGATGTGGTGTAGTGGTTAACATTATCGCCTCTCATAAGTATATTTGTACGCGATAGCCCGGGGTTCGATTCCCCGTGTCGGAATTTATTGAACAATTTTCTTCCTGTGTTTTTTTTTTCAATGCATTGCTACTTTTTTTTCCTTTTCTCCAGTGTCCCAGTGGTACTTGATCCATGTACAGACACACTGTATATACGCTATAGTTATCTCATATACAGTGATCCTTATCGGTAAGATAAACATCCTTTGTCAAGTATGAATTCTTCAAACTCTGTTTTACTTACTGACAAAACCAAAACTTTCCATGAGGATCAAGCTTGTGTAAAAACTATATGAGTAATACAAGCACATACACACAAGTCGAAATATATATATATACTCTGAATCTGGATAACAAACAAGAGAACTAACCCATACATTGCCATACATACACCGATACAGATCCTGATCCACAATGAAATTCCAAGATCCACGAAATAGGAGTTACATATACATGAAAATTCAAAGAAAAAGGTGCCCGATTTACCATCTTTTTTTTCGTGTGTCGATATATACTTTGTTAGTCCGTTGATCCGTGCGGGAGGGAGGGAGAGGGGTTGTTATACCTCATCCAATGCTTCCATATTAGTATCTTTAATATCTTTCAGAACCCCCCAGCTCCCCTAACCCTCTGTACAGCTCCAACCATCCCTCTCGCCCATGAGAATCTCCCGGGGTCAACACCAATTGCGCCATCAGCCATAGCACCAGTAACGGGGTCGTGCCAGCATCCGTCCTGGGTAGATACAAGGCCGTAGATTTCTAGTCGTAAAAAATATATTCAACACATATACAGAAATGCACCTTCGTAAACAGGTGCATATCGAAACAATCAACGCACCAGTATTCTGATTCCTCCTAATGCCCTCCATCCACCTCTTACACACTTCCTCCGAATCGAGCATGACGTTGACTTCTTGGGAATGGAACCACGTTTGAGTGTCTTGATTCCCGTTGCCTTGCATGGCGATGTGGTTGTCCACGATGAGGATTTTTACTGTACGAGGAGAAATTATGGAATATTAAATAAACGGAACGAAATGAAACGACCAAAATCATCGGACGAACGAACGAACGAACGAACGAACGAACGAACGAACGAACGATCTGTCCATCAAACGAACAAACAAACAAACAAACGAATGGAGGTAAAATACTCACTATGACAACTTCTCTTCTTAAATTTATTATGTATCGGCTTATCCTGATCCTTCGCGATATAATTATATATCTTCAACCTTGATTTTTCTTCCTCCGTGAGTGGCTGAGCTTCGTTGGAATGAGCCTGCCCTTCGTTCGCCTCATAGGCTTGGTTGGGCTGGGCGTAGTCTCCACTCGGGGGGTTAGTTCCAGTTCCAGAAGAATACTCAGATTCATCATTAGGCGTAAGAGTCGACAAAGCAGTATTAGTCATAACAGGAGCTGTAGGATGGGAAGAATGTATTGTTTGGAACAACCCTGGATCGTTGTATAACCTATTCGCGATCATTTCGTTTGTACCATTTTGGTATGGGAGGAGTTCGCCCTGTGAGAGGAAGATTGGTCAATGAAGAATGAGTGATTGAGGAACGGAGAGAAGGAGAATAATGATGAAAGGAAGAATGAATCAAGACACTCACCGCATCATTATACCCCAAACAAACCCACACCTCCACCTCTACACCTCTTCTCACAGCTTTAACCAGCTCCGGAAGCAACGGCTCCGCGTTCAAATTCGGTGTCTGGATGAAGATCGACTTGGTCGCACCGCGTATAGCTTCCAAAAACGCAACGTTCTGCGGGTACCTTACTGCATGTGGGATAGAGAACGTCGGTGAGCCCAGTGGAGCTCGGGAGGCTATGAGCATGGGAATTGGAGTGGGAGCCGTCCCGCCACCAGGGAATGCAGATGAAGGGAGAGGAATATACGGAGTCATTTCGCTAGAAGAGACTAACGAGTCTTCGGAAGGTTCCGGGGCAGTAGGTTGAACCCCGCCATCAGCTTTTTGAGCCGCGGTAACGTTAAAGTGTCGGGAAACAGCTTGAAGATGAGATTCTCCGGGTTTCGGTGCATACGAAGCTTGGATACGGCGGATTTCACCGGCGATGGTAGAGTCGTAGTGGGGAGATCCTGGGAGGTGTTCCGGCAAATCGAGGGAATCGTGTCCAGCTTGAACAACAGATGGAAGGGAAACTGGTTCGGTGGTAGAATCTGAAGTGAATAGAGCGAGGAAAGAAGGGTCAGAGTATGACGGGAGTGGGCGGGAAGAGGCGGGAGTTAGACGACATGGAAGAGGAGGATCGAGGGTTGTACTCCATGATGCTAGACAGACGTCGTACAGAGAGTCAACTACAGGACCTTCGAGACGGATACACATTTCCAAATTGTCGTTATCCTGGATATTGTTTGACATCAATAAAGCAACTTGTCTATCGACGACCATGAATTTTGAATGAAATGTTCCGACAAGGGGAACGTGGTAATTGACGACCTGCATGCTGATATTGGGAATTTCCTCTGGAGACGGCAAATTTACTTTTGGACCGGTATAGGTTGCTGGAGGTACATGTTGATGATGAGTAATCGCCTGCTTCACATTGCCTCTATCATACAACATCTTCACAATGACCTTCTCCCCTCCGCGTTCACCAATTCTCTTATTAAGCTCCCTGAACGCATCGGTAACCAATCTGGATGTATCAGAGTTTATCCAGAAGTTGGTAGCAAGAAAGACTTCTTTCTGTGCACGAACGATGCAGTTGGACATATGTTTGACGATATCAGGAAGAGGAGCGATTATTGTTAATGGGACAACACCGGAAGTAGCGATGAGCGGAGGGGATACCATGCCAGCCATTGCGTCGCCTGAGGCTGCGAGGTTCCGTAGAATAGATTGATAGATAGATCGAAAGAGAGGACTGGGTGTAAGAGAACCAAAATTTCCTAGAGATTTTTGGTCGTCGTCTGTATCTCGTACATGCGCATACAACCGTTTAGCTATCTTTCCTGGTTCTTCATCAGGGTGCTTTGCGTACTCGCTGCTAATCGTCGTTTCTGATTGGACAAGGTCGTAGATGGTTGGATGAGTCATCGTAAGAGCTGCTGGTAGACGTCGTCGTTTGAAGCAGAAAATAATCAAGATGGAAATTAGCAGAACTATAAATAGTATCAGGGAACTATAAATAGTTATACCATCACAGTGGAGCCCACCGCTTCTTCATATGTCAAAGCTGTAAATATTCAACCCCTCTACATATAAACTTGCAATCTTTAGTAATTCGCTGAGAGCGTTGGCGTTGAGACTTGGTACTGAGACCTGGCAAGTTACACTCTGCTGTAAGCCAACTACAACCAAACTTTGAACACTCTCTACCTAAAACATCCCTATACCTAACAAGGGCCCTGAAAGCCCGAGGATCTCAAGATAAGTATCTTATGCTTTCTGTCGAGAGAGTCGTACGCTGACCGGGGCAGTGAATGTCAGTGTTTGTGTAAATTACTACCCTCCTGGAAAATGCAAGGACCTTGTCCATTGACCAAGAGTAGGACCTACACTTTCACACCTCAGACTTCCGAAATCACAACCAATGTCAAAGCTAAACATTGACAACCAAAATCCGCCAATGCTGCATGATTCTAAAGAATGTTTGATACTCAAACTATCAGAAAGTTCATGCATTGAGGGCAAGGCGAGTTCGCACTTTGTTCATCTGGATGTAAAACGAATAACTCTTCAAATATTGAGTTGCAATCTGTCTTCAAAACCATCACAGTTGGAAATGAAGGAGAAAAGATTGCAAGTGAGTGTAAATTCCACATTACCCACAGCAGATACTTTGCATGTATTCCAGATATTGCACAAGATGTACAACACACCCGTAAATGCCAGGTACAATCATGCTAAAATGATCAACTTTACAACGATAACACAGAATGAGTAGATTTTCATTGAACATATGCGTCGTTAGTGATTCCCTATGTTCTAATAGGAGGCCAGCCAACAGATGGCTTGCTCATGCAAACCGACTTCCAAGTGGTGATAATCATTTTGGGCTTGAGCAGTAATACTGATCCGAGATTGAAGAGGTATGTGTCGAGATATATACTACCCTAGCTTTAGGAAGTGTATTTGACGAATAATGATTTGCCTACGTCAAGCTCAGTGATGAACAGCGCCGAGTACAGAACTCTGTTCTAATGAGATATGTTTTGCCTGGGGAGCAGCCCTGTACGGGTGGGAAACTCACGAAACGCGGTATGCTTGGATGAAAACGTGAGTTGAAAGAACGTCAAGTTGCACGCTGTTACCTGGTTGGGCGCCTTTTCCATCTCGTTGACGACGTCGAAACTTGAAGCAAGCTTATCAGGAGGGTTGTGAGTCTTGTGAACAGTACGTGTCCTGATATAATTTCTCAATGGTTACTTAAAGAGTAAAGTATGAAATCGAAAGATGCATCTAGTGATATTAAGCCTATCACTGTTTTGGTGTCCCAAGAAATTATCAACCTTTTCATCGACGAGCTTCGAGATTGTTTCTCTGCTCTGAAGACCTGCTCTCTAGTACATCCATCATGGCTTCCAAACGCTCGTGCCCACCTCTTTCATGCCTTCACCGTTGGCTTCGTTCCAGTAATCAAATATCCCAGTCGGCAATTGTATGAATCAGATTATCCTATTACCTTGATTGACCACCTCAATAACGCTTTTTTCGAACACATCTCATCCTCACTGTCATTCCAAAACTGTGTCCAGATTTTGACCTTCACAGATGCAATGGATTCTCGGCTATTTGTTGTTGAACCCTCTGGTCTGATACAGTTATAACACCATGATCTAGAGACTCGAAACGACGTGTTTACCCCGAATCTATATATCCAGGACGTGTTTTCACCGACGTTCTTCCATTCACAAACTTGAGGGTTTTGGAACTTAACCGTAGCATCTGGCCTAAAATTGACATCGTTCCTCCCGTCGAACGGTTGATTTCGAGAAATCATTCTCTCTCGAGGATCATCATCCTTGGTCTTCGCGTTGGGGGACAAAAACCTATCTCAAATATGATTC